CTGGAAAGAGAAGGGAGGTGACCGAAGGCATGGTCCTTTCTATGGTCATCAAACAAATATGTATCCTTGCTAACATTTAACGTTGAACACTCCATTTACACAGATTGACATGTACACACTCATTATGTTGTGGTAGCTCACTGCATTTTAAGATCTCTACATTTTTTCCAGTAGAATACTACAAACTCTCCTCACTTTCTATTTTAGACCATTACAAAATTACATTTGATGACTAACTCATCTACATATGTATAATTCATATCTCACTTTCTCACCCTAATTACATATTACAACCTCTTTAAAATAACTGGGATATGAATACATCATGAAGTAATTGTCAGCCTCTCATCACTTTGTGTTCAGCTCCGCAAATGCAAAAAATGATCAGAACATGTTTCTCTTGAGTGATTTTTATTATTTCCACCTTCTTTCCATTTGACAGTTGTGAGAATAGGGTGATATAATGTGACAACGAAAAGGTCCAAATTGTACATATCACCTGAAGTTCTGACAGTAAACTAGGTCAAACTGAACCATGGAGAGATGGGATGTGGATTCCAAATGATCCAATATGCATCCTTCCAAATTCAGTCAATCTGTCAAGGCAACCACAAAGTGAGGTGTCAGAATTCCAGTGTAGAAAGATGTTTAAAGAAACACCAGGACAGCAGGACAAGAGGGTACAGGTTCAGTGGTATGAGCAGTCCATTCAATTCATCAAACACGTACCATTTTATGAGATCATGACATTTCTTCATATCCCTTACTTATCAAGTGTTTATATATCTCCCTAGACAGCCCAGCCAATATGTTGGCAATATGAACATGGCAGCCAATTTACGCACAGCATTGATCCAACAAAAATTTGCATTTATATAATAATAACAATCCTAGCATTTGATACAGCGCTTTTCACATCTTCTAGACGTCTCAAAACGCTTCACAGAATAGACTGTAATGTGAATTGACCGTATATTTGTGGGCGAAACGCGGCAGCCAATTGCGCACAGCAGTATCCCACAAACAGTCGTGGATTGAAAATGACCAATTTATTATTTTTTTTGTTTTGGAGGGATTATTATTAGGCTCTGTGTGGAGTAAGGAAACTTGCCCAAGGTTTCGCCCTGCCTGGAATTGAACCCAGGTCTCTCGCTTGCAAAGCGAGTGCTCTAACCACTGAGCTACAGGACTCCACTTTACTCTCCTCCACAGCGCCCTCTCTATCACACTCGACGTCCTTGCCTCCCTCACCTCCCGAACTGCCTCCTATTCCCGATCCTCACCTTGGTTCACCAACCACCTCCACTCGCTCAAGGGCCAGGTGTGGGCTGCCGAATACACTTGGCTCAAATCCGGCCTAACGGACTACTGGCACATCTGGCTGGACCTCATCAAAACCTACCGCTCAGCTCTCACCTCAGCCAAATCATCCTTCTACTCCAGGGTAATCCTGGAGGAGAAGGGCAAGCCCAGGCTCCTGTTCTCCACCACCAACCGGCTCCTCCGCTCTCCTCGCCATGCCTCGCAGATTCTTTCCTCTGACTCCCACTGCAAGGAGATGCTGGACTTCCTCGAGTCTAAAATCAAGGGAATCCGCTCAGCTGCCACTGCCCTTCCAACTTCCATCCCCCCCCTCCTTGACCCATCACAGGCATCCAGCTACAGCCCATCTCCCACCTCCCTTTTCTGTCTAAGGTCCTTAAGAGAGCTGTCACCCCCCAGCTTCGCTTTTTCCTCTCCTCCCAGTCCCTCCATGAGCCCCTCCAATCGGGTTTCCGTGCTGCCCACATCACAGAAACTGCTCTGGTCAAGGTCACCAATAACATCCTGATGATGGACCAAGTCTCCCTCTGCCTCCTCATCCTCCTCGACCTCTCCGCCGCCTTTGATACTGTGGACCACTCAATCCTCCTCCACCGCCTCTCCTCCCATCTCAACCTTCAAGATTCTGGCCTTGACTAGTTCAGGTCCTGCCTTTCACACCGTCTCCACTTCGTCTCAGCAAACAGCTTCTCCTCCAGCCCCCGCACCGTCTCTTGCGGTGTTCCTCAGGGCGCTGTCCTCGGTCCCCTCCTCTTCACCCTCTACATGCTCCCCCTTGCTGACATCATCCGCAGACATGGGGTAAATTTCCACATGTATGCGGATGACACCCAACTCTATCTCTCTGCCTCCAACCTTAACTCCAGGACTACTGGCGTCCTGACCAACTGCCTGTCCGACATCAAGTCCTGGACGAGGGACAACTTTCTGCAACTCAACATCAGCAAGACCGAGGCCCTCCTGATTTGCTAACACCAGCACCTCTACAACTCGGGCACTGGCAGCAACATCATCCACGGCTGCACACTCAACCTCACTAAGCCGGTCAGGAACCTGGATGTCTTATTTGACCCTGAAATATCCTTTCTCCCGCACATCTGCGCCATGACCGGCACTGCCTTCCACCACCTTTGCAAAATTGCCAGACTCCGCCATTGCCTCACCCCTCAGGCTGCCGAGACCCTCACCCATGCATCCGTCACATCAAGGCTCGATTATGGAAACTCCCTCCTCATCAGCCTTCCCAACTCTTCCCTTCAAAAGCTGCAGATCATCCAAAACTCTGCAGTTTGTGTATTCTCGCACACCAGGCTCCATGATCTCAACACTCCCACCCTCGCCCGACTCCACTGGCTCCCCATCCCCCAGAGGATTGAATTCAACATCCTCATCCTCACTTTCAAGGCCATCCGTGACCTTGCCCCCTCCTCCCTCTCTGACCTGCTGATTCCCTACCAACCAGCCCACTCCCTCCATTCAGCGGGCTCCAGCCTGTTCCATGTCTCCCGCCTGACCCACCTACCATCGGTGACTGGGCTTTCAGCCTCTCTGCCCCCACACTCTGGAACTCCATCCCACGGTCCCTTCGCCTCGCTTCCTCCCTTGCTTCCTTCAAGGCCGGTCTCAAGACCCTCCTCTTTCATCGTGCCTTCAGTCGCCCTCCCACCTCTCTGCCTTCTCTCACCCCTACCCCACCTCTCCCCCCTGCTCGGGTCCTGACCCCTGACTGTCCAGCGTCTTGGGACATCCTCCCAATGTGAAAGGCGCTCTATAAGTGTAATTTTGTTGTAGTTGTTATAGATTCTAATACATTGCCCACAAGTGACATTAATCTGACATTAGCTCTGTCATACTTTTTAAAAATAAGTATTATGTTGGCGAGTCTCGAGTACGTTAGCACAATTTCCATCCCGAAAGAGTTCTTAAATATATACAGCCTCAGCTATCTTCTGCCTCGGTTCCTTAAGGATCCTTGGGTGCAGTCCACCTACGGGTCTATGGGAAAGGTGCCAGATGCCTTTTCCACTTTAAGATTGAATAATTTATACTTCCCTTCTCCCTTATTTACCTATTTTTAGCAGTCAAGGACATCAAATCCTTCCCTCCATTTCAAAAGCAATACAGCTCAGAGACAGGCAACAACATTGGAGAAGTGCCAAAAGTGGAGTGAGGCATTTAGGAAGCAGATGGAATTGCCTTTATTTTTAATGCTTAGTGTCTGTCACTGTCCCAGGGACTATAATACAGTAAGTATAATAATAATTCTTAGATTTGGTACCACGCCTTTAATGTAGGGAAGATGTCTTGAAGTGCTTCACATGATTATAATCATAATAATAATAATCCTTATCCTCAAGACATCTGAAAGTGCTTCACGGAATATACGGTAAAGTGAATTGACTGTATATTTGTAGGTGAAACGCAACAGCCAATTGTGCACAGCAGTGTCCCACAAACAGTTGTGGATTTAGTGACTAAATTATTATATTTTTAAATGTAAAGGATTATTACGCCCAGAAAAGTGATCTGGCAATCAAATAACAACCAGGTTCCTACTTACTGCTAGGTAAACTGAGGCATATGGAGTAAGGAAACTTACCTAACATTTCGCCCTGCCCAGGAATTGAACCCAGGTCCTCTTGCTTGTGAGCCAAATGCTCTAACCAATAAGCTTTTGGACTCCACATGATATGCTTCATAATGATATACTATAAAGTGCAGTGACTGTATGTTTTGTGGGCAAAGGCAGCAGCCAATTTGTGTACAAACAACCATGGAGTGAATGACAACAACAACAACAAATTGCATTCATATATCATCTAGGAGTCCTGTAGCTCAGTGGTTAGAGCACTCACCTGGCAAGCGAGAGACTTGGTTTCGATCCCCGGCAGGGTGAAACCTTGGGCAAGTTTCCTTACTCCACACACCTAATAATAATCCCTCAAGAAAAAAAATAATAAATTGGTCATTTTCAATCCAAGACTGTTTGTGGGACACTGCTGTGCGCAATTGGCTGCCAGGTTTCGCCCACAAATACACAGTCAATTCACTTTACAGTCTATTCTATGAAGCACTTTGAGACGTCGCGAAGACGTGAAAAGCGCTATATCAAATGCAAGGATTATTATTATCATTATTAGCTATCATGTCAGAAGGACATCCCAAGGCACTGACCAGTCAAGGGTTTGCACCCAAGCTGGGGGTTGCAGTCAAGAGGGACAGAGGGCAAGAGGGTTGAGGCGGCAAGATGACCGAAGGCATGGCCAAAGAGGAAGGTCTTGAGATGGGCTTGAAAGAGGCAAGTCAGTGAGTGAGGTGAAGGGACTCGGGATGGGCGGGGCGGGGCGGGCAGGCAGGGTGGGCAGAGCGGGCGGGGCGGGTGGGCAGGGCAGGGCGGGCGGGGCGGGCAGGGCGGGCGGGAGGGCGGGCGGGGCGGGCGGGGCGGGCGGAGCAGGTGATCGCCCGCTCTGTCACCTCGGACCTCGTCAGACGAAATCCTGTCCGGAGGGAAGTCAGACCCTCCAGTGACGTGACGTGACGTGACACCTCGCAGCGGGTTCAAAAACGCCCGCCTTGCGCATGCTCAGTGGCGTGCGGATCGGCTTTGTGGTGACGTGGCAGTGAGTGTCCGGGAGAGGAGAGGAGAGGAGGGCGGGGCCGGGCGTTGGTGGGGGGGGGCGTACGTGATGACGTCAGGGGCAGGTAGCTGACGGCCAGTGACGTGCGGTCGGAGAGTTGGCAAAACATCAGGGAGTGGGGAAAAGCCACGTTGTCGGTTTGTAGCCGTAGCGAAAGAGAGGGGCACCGCGCGGAGAGGATGTCTTCGCCTCCCGGAGACAAAGTGGAAGTCAAAGGGGGACACCTCCCCGCTGGTAACTCACCGAACCAACTCGTCAACTCACTCACTCACTCACTCTCAACTCACTCACTCACTCACTAATCACTAACCGCCCTCCCTCCCGCAGCACTCGGGTGGAAGCCGAGCGCTGGTGTTGTTCTGCCCCGCGGGGGGTGGGGTGAGGGGGGGGGTCAGAGTGCAAGTGGGGGGGCGGGAGAGAGGGGGAGAGGGGGCGCCTCCCGGCGCGCGGGGGAGGGGTGGGTGGGGCGCGCGGGGGAGGGGTGGGGGCCAACTGTGCCCCGGGGGCAGCTCTGGACCCCCCCCCCCCCACAGAGGGTTGGACCCCCCCACAGAGGGTTGGACCCCCCCACAGAGGGTTGGACCCCCCCACAGAGGGTTGGACCCCCCCACAGAGGGTTGGACCCCCCCACAGAGGGTTTGGACCCCCCCACAGAGGGTTGGACCCCCCCCCCCCCCACAGAGGGTTGGACCCCCCCCCCCCCACAGAGGGTCGGACCCCCTCCCCCCACAGAGGGTCGGACCCCCTCCCCCCACAGAGGGTTTGGACCCCCCCACAGATGGTTGGTCCCCCCCCCCCCCACAGAGGGTCGGACCCCCCCCCCACAGAGGGTCGGACCCCCTCCCCCCACAGAGGGTCGGACCCCCCCCCCACAGAGGGTCGGACCCCCCCCCCCACAGAGGGTCGGACCCCCTCCCCCCACAGAGGGTCGGACCCCCTCCCCCCACAGAGGGTCGGACCCCCCCCCACAGAGGGTCGGACCCCCCCCCCACAGAGGGTCGGACCCCCTCCCCCCACAGAGGGTCGGACCCCCCCTCCACAGAGGATTGGACCCCCCCACACACTGAAGGTTGGACCCCCTCCCCCCACAGGGGGTTGGACCCCCCCCCCACAGGGGGTTGGACCCCCCCCCCCCACAGGGGGTTGGACCCCCCCCCACGGAGGGTTGGACCCCCCCCCACGGAGGGTTGGACCCCCCCCCCCCACGGAGGGTTGGACCCCCCCCCCCACGGAGGGTTGGACCCCCCCCCCCCACGGAGGGTTGGACCCCCCCCCCACAGAGGGTTGGACCCCCCCCCCCACAGAGGGTTGGACCCCCCCCCCCCACAGAGGGTTGGACCCCCCCCCCCACAGAGGGTTGGATCCCCCCTCCCCCACAGAGGGTTGGACCCCCCCCCCCACAGAGGGTTGGACCCCCCCCCCCCACAGAGGGTTGGACCCCCCCCCACAGAGGGTTGGACCCCCCCCCCACAGGGGCCCCCCCCCACAGAGGGTTGGATCCCCCCTCCCCCACAGAGGATCGGACCCCCCCCACACACAGAAGGTCGGACCCCCCCCCCACAGAAGGTCGGACCCCCCCCACAGAGGGTCGGACCCCCCCCCCCACAGAGGGTCGGACCCCCCCCCCACAGAGGGTCGGACCCCCCCCCCACAGAGTCTGGCGCTGTGTCGCTGTCTGGCGCTGTCTGTCGTTGGGTTGTCTGTCGTTGTGTCGCTGTCGCTGTCGCTGTCTCGGGGGCGGACTTCTCGTTTTTTTTTCTCATCGTATATTCTTAACTTTATAATGCGTCCTGCAAAGCGCCTTGAGTCGTGTCAACGACCCTTGTCAGCCACGGACTCGCGTGCAATGATTACTGTTGTTGTTTCTTTATTAAAAAAAAGTATCTCCCACTCCGCACCCCCACCACCCCCCCCCCCCCCCCCCCAAGCCTGTATATATATATATATTAAAAAATGCAGCACATTTAAATCCTGACCTGGATTTAATGATTTTGGATGGATCTGTTTCCTGAATGGGATTACAAAGTGTTGTCAGTGCAACTTATTTGTCTGAGATTTTTTGGGGGGAGGAAGGGTTGGGGCGGTGAGTCATGTGCACTGTTTCGTTATATTTGCAAGACAGTGATTGACTGAGCTCAAGCTGCAGTGATTTCAAAACATGAGGGCATCATCTCTTCAGGTTTCTTTGAAAGTTTAGTTTGAAAGCTACAAAGTAATCTCTTCCAAGTGTTCAAGTTGGCTCCAAGGCTCAGTGAGTGCTCTGTGGCCGTAAGCCATACCAGGCTGAAGGTTTTGAATCTGATGTCTGATCTCAGGCAGGTCAGCTATAAACAACAACAACTTGCATTATATAGCGCCTTCACGCGGGGTAGTGTCCTGGAGCGCTTAATTGGTTCAGTGACACTCGGCTATGGAGGGATTGCTGCTTTAGATCTTTCGCTCTGACTTCTAGTAGACCTGTTTGGATCAGGACCATGGCTCCTATTGCTTGCGTATCAGCCTGGCTCATTTGGTTGCACTCGCGCCTCAGACTCATAAGGCGGTGGGTTCAAGCCCCACATCGGGACTCTGAGCTGAGTCTGGGCTGACACTTCAGTGCAGTGCTGGTGGCTGTGTTCTACATTGTGGAGTCCTGTAGCTCAGTGGTTAGAGCACTCGCTTTGCAAGTGAGAGACCTGAGTTCAATTCCAGGCAGAGGGCGAAACCTTGGGCAAGTTTCCTTACTCCACACACCTAATAATAATCCCTCCAAAACCAAAAACAATAATAAATTGGTCATTTTCAATCTACGACTGTTTGTGGGACATTGCTGTGCGCAATTGGCTGCCACGTTCGCCCACAAATATACAGTCAGTTCACTTTACAGTGTGTTCTGTGAAGCGCTTTGGGACGTTCTCCCGACGTGAAAAGCGCTATATCAAATGCAAGGATTATTATTATTATTATTATTGTTGGAAATGCTGTCCTTCTGATGAGAAGTTAAACTGAGTGCCAGTTCAGGTGAGATCCCATGACAATATTCACATTGAGAAGGGAATTTCTCCCAGTGCCCTAACTGGCAGTTCTCCAGATAGAATTGGTCACTCACTCCACGGCTGTTTGTTGGACATTGCTGTGCGCATATCGGCTGCTGTGTCTACAAAACACAGGCATTACACTTTACAGTATGTATATCTTGTGAAGCACTTTGAGACATCTTCCCAACTTCAGAGGTGCTATATCAAATGTAAGAATTTTTTTTAGTAAATATCCAGCTTACCAGACTCCAGGTATCCGGAATTTGAACAACAACAGAATTACATTTGTAAAGCACCTTTCACGTCGGGAGGACGTCCCAAGGCGCTGGACAGACAGAGTTATGGACCCGAGCTGGGGGTCAGGGAGGGTGAAGGGCAGGGGGAGAAGCCGGGAGATCGAAAGCACAGTTGAAGAGGAGGGTCTTGAGATGAGTCTTGAAGGTGGCAAGAGAGGAGGCGAGGCGGTGGGACTGCAGGATAGAGTTCTAGAGGGTGGGGGCAGAGTGGCAGAAGGCCCACCTCGCAGTAGTGGGGCGAGCAAGGCGGGGGATGTGAAGCAGGCCGGAGCCCACTGAGCGGAGGGAGCGAACAAGATGGTAATTATAATAATCCTTGCATTTGATATAACGCTTTTCATGTCTTCTAGACGTCTCAAAGTACTTGGTAGGGGGTTAGGAGGTTGCAGAGGTAGGGGGGGAGCAAGACCATGAAGGGCTTTGAAGGTGAAGACCAGGATCTTGAACTGTATCCTCTGTGTGATGGGAAGTCAGTGGAGTCGGGCGAGGATGGGGGTGATAGGGTTGCGGAGCCTGGTGCGGAAGAGGACACGGGCTGCAGAATTCTAGATGATCTGCAGCCTATGGAGAGAGGAGTTGGGGAGGTCAACAAGCAGTGAGTTTGCATAGTCAAGCCTCGATGTAATGTAATGAGGGTTTCGGCGGCCTGCGGTGAGACAGTGGTAGAGCCGGGCAATGTTGCAGTGTTTGGGGAAGGCAAAGCATGTAGATATTAAAGAGGAGAGGGCCAAGGACAGAGCCCTGGGGGACGCCAAACATGACAGTGTGGAGGAGAAACCATTAGAGGCAACAAAGTGGAGATGGTGAGAGAGATAGGATTCAAACCAGGCAAGGGCAGGCCTGCGAAGATTAAGTAAAGAGGCGAGGCGGTGTATGAGGATGGAGTGGTCGACAGTGTCGAAGGCGGCAGAGAGGTCGAGGAGGACAACGAGGCAGAGGAGCCCTGATCACAGATGTTCAGAATGTCATTGCTGACTATGACCAGCGCTGTTTCCGTGCTGTGGGACGACTCGTTCCAGGAACTTGGAGAGGAATGAGAGGTTAAAGATGGGGAGGTAGCTGGAGAGTAAGGATGGGTCCAGGAAAGGTTTTATCAGGATGGTGGTGATGAAGGCTGTTTTTAGGGGGATGGGAATTGAACCGGTGGACAAGGAGATGTTGACGACGTCGGATAGGAGAGGGGCCAGAAGTTGGAGCTGGGAGATGAGAGAGGTGGGGATGGGATCGAGGGAGCAGTTGGTGGTTTAAGTTTGCGAATGATGGCGGTGAGGGAAGAGGGAGAGATAGGATCGAAGGAGTATAGGGCCCCCTCGAAGGGTGGGGGCTGGGTCATGAGTGAGAGGTGATGTGGTGGACAGGGCAGAGGTGGCTGAAGGTATCCCCTCGATTTTGGATTTGAAAAAGTCCAGGATCTCCTCAGTTGGAGTTTGAGGAGAAGATGGGCGAGGCGTGGGAAGGTGGATGGAGGAGACGGTTTGTGGTGGAAAAGAGAAGCCTGGGGTTGTCCTTTGCTCCCCACGCAAACAAATTCAGTGTTTGAGTGGGGGACAAAAAATGTAAAGCTTATGAGAAAATATTTTGGACCCTAATTTCCAACCTTTATGGTTTATAAAAGATTAAAACTTTCTTTCCTGCCAAGGTACTCAGCAAATTTTGCCTGCAGGTCATAATGATTTATAATCTCAGAGATGGAAGTAATTAAAAAATCATGGAGCTGCTTTTGCATACAAAAGAAACGGTCCTTTTTCAGATTGAGTTTTGCTTGCATGTTATTAGTATTTTATAATATTTTATTATTTAATTGATTATAATGCAGCTGAAGGGGTCAATCTCATTGTTGATCACTGTACGATGATAAAACATAGCAATTTTATTATTCATTACACACTTAGAATTATAATAATATTCTTGCGTTTGATGTAGCACCTTTCACACTGGGAAGATGTCTCAAAGCAATTCACAGAATTTACTGTGAAGTGTAGCAAACATGTATTTTGTAGGCCGACACACAGCTTTAAGCATGGCATTATCCCACAAACAGCCCATGAAATAAATGCCCCTCCAGTTTTATCTGGTAATTGTTGGCTACTGATAGTAGTTCCTTTTTGAGTTATGCTATGGGATCTTTAACGCTTATCTGCACAGACAGATAGGACCTTGGTTTAACATCTATTGCAATGGACAGCACCTTTGACCATGCAATGTCCCCTCAACGTTGCATTTTTGACTAGGATATATCAATATATCCTATATCAATAAGTGATTGATTAATTTGGGAAACACATTGCAGAATAATTTAACTTTTGACACACAAGAAAGGCCTATATCTAACTCCATTAAGATCTCTTGTCAATTAACCATTAAATATCCACTTTAATCTGGTGAAAGTGGGCATTCCCGGTTTATTATCTTACCTGTTAGCTACTTTGAAAAGCCATTGGCCAGAGTGTGTTGGAGCTCTGTGTATTGTGTGCTTGCCAAAGTTTTCGTGATCTCTCTTCCTTTATCTGAAGTACATTGTGCATTTACTTTGAGTGGGGAAAAAAATAAAGATCAGATGTTTCCAGAATGCAGATTTAAAACTTTAATTAAATAAAGAGAACGCAAGTTTTTTTTAAAAAAAAGAACTTTTTTACATCTAGTTTATTTCCTTTCCCATCCCAAGTTCAGGTCTCTGTGCTTTTCAGCATGAGAGAGTTGTACAAGTTGGCTGAAAGTGCATCGAGGCTGTATTCCCTCACTATGGCTGGGTAATACCTGGTATCCTCTTCAATAATAATCCTTGTATTTAACAAAGTGCCTTTTCACATCTTCGAGTTGACTCAAAGCGCTTCACAGAATATACTGCAATGTAAATTGATTATATTTTGTGGGCGGAGCGCGGCAGCCAAACTCGCACAGCAGTGTCCCGCAAACAGTCGTGGGTTGAGTGACCAAATTATTATTATTATATTTTTTGGAAGGATGATTATCCCCGTAAAAGCAATCTGCCAATCGACTAACACACAGGTTCCTACGTTACTGCTAGGTAAACAAAGTATGCAAGGACCTTGCCCAAAGTTCGCCAGGAATCGAACGCACGTCTCTCAAACCTTGTACTTCGAGTGTACTTCTGACATTGATATAGCAGAGTAAATGATTTATTCTGTCTATAACCTGTGAGTGCTTATTTGTAAAATTGACCTTGACACACCAGAAAGAAAGCATTATATAATAGTATTGCTCAATATCTGCTCATTTCTGAGGCTGTGAACCGAGTATGTGAAGAATCGCAACTGTAAACCCAGTCCTGCTTCTCAGACACAGCACATTGAAAGCACTTACAGTGCTATTAGCCCCGTGTTATCCAGGCCTTGTGATAACACTACTCAGTCCATATATTATATATTGCAATATTCTAGCAGGACTTTCAAATACTGTCAGTCAGAGGTACAAGAAGGTGACCTGAGTTGAACGGCACAGCAAAGAGAATGTGAGGCAAATAAAAAGCATGAACCGAGAAGTTGGTTTTATTTAATCACAGTACATTTTACTCCGTGGTAAAAGTTGTACAAAAAGACCCTTTGATCTTCTCTGGTACAGACAGAGAGGGTATGCAAGAAAATACGTGTCATTGTTGAATCATTAATTTTAATGTTTTTTTTAAAATACCAGATTATGGAGATGGAAGTGTTTGTATTCAGACTGAGATTTTGTTACTTCTCCATTTCAATGTTAGGATTGCTTGCTGTTGAGATGAGTCTGCTGTAGTAAGTGTGTTAAGAACCTACCGTTCCTTACTCAGACATGTCCATTTTGCAAATCGGATTTTTAAAAATGAAAGTTTTATACTTTTATGCAAATTGCTAGTGTGGTTTGTCTGCACAGATTTTAAGATCCACAAATGTTGATTGATAACACAGAGCTACACTGAAGTTTGGGTTTTGCTGTAAGACTGTACTTCTTCCCATCAAGAACAGATTCTGTGTAACATTTCCCAATGCTTCGACTACAGCAATACATACAGGTTTCTGAGGACGCCTGATCTCTACTTAAGACCCTTTGCAGCTGAACGGCAATCAGAAACTCAATAGTAAAGCAGTTGAATATGTTGGTTCACTGGTACATTGGTTAACTATTTCTCCAGTTCAAAGTGGGTTGTAAATTCTCATTGGTACACTTTTTGGGACAAAAAATGCAATATCTATTCATTTCTGAACACGATCGATAATTTCATTATAGTCCCATACAAAACATAGCAAGTGTTACCAGAGTCCCTATTCGGTAACTAGAGGAGAGGGTCAGCTGGATCTCCTATCACACGTCTATTTCACACCAGAGTAACTCCATTGCTGGGACAATAATATGGTTGATACATGCTGGAGGGGATGTGGGGAGATTCATAATGTGTTCTATATATTCTGGAATTACAGCAGTATTTGTAAGTGTGTTCGCCCACAACTACAGTCACTATACTTTGCGGTGAAATCCTGTGAAGCACACCTTGAAGACATGATACGGTGCTATATTCAATGTTAGGATTATTATATTATTAGTTGTGATTTCAGGGGAGGTTAAATAATCACGGGAATCAGTATGGATCTGAGTCTAATACATTTTATTGCAAGGGATCGTGCAAGAGATTTCTTTGGACCCAGATAGGGGTTGTCCAATAGAAAATGTATATGTACAAGAAGATGCAGCCTCAAAGGTGGCATCAGGTAGGAATATAGACTATTCCTGGTCATGGTGCTCTACAAAGTGGCCCAAACAAAAGAGAATATTTATCATCCGCGTTGTTCAGAAAAAAGTTAACATCTGGTACCTATTTTTTCAAATATGTGTGCACAGTTCGTGGCCCTAAATTTGAATGAAGATCCATTGGATGGATTGATAGACAGATTGGTGAGGGATGTAGATTTCAGGCGCCTGACTATTTCTGAATCATAAAAGCGGAGATTCTCTCGGTCTCTCTTTCCTTTAATGGAAGAAGACTGTTTCTCTCTTCTCCCTGCTCCCCCCCCCCCACCTTTGAGGGTCTAGGAAAGTTGCATTTATTGTAAATAATAATTCTTGTAGTTGTGATAGTGCTTACAGGATTTACTGCAAAGTGGAATGGCTGTGTATTTGTAGTTGAACAGGGCAGTTGTTTTATTTAAATGACTTGTCTATCTTTCTCGGCCACACCACTATATGTAAATATATATATATGTATGTATACTGTATATAGAATAATTGTAAAAATAATCATTGCCCACCATCTCACTAGAAGTATCGTGACCTGTATTAAGAAACTAAAATATGTCATTTGAATTCACAGGACCTTGAGTTGCCTTGGAGATTTTTCCAGAATTTAGTTATTCCTTAGACGTCGTGATCACCTTGTGTCAGTAATTGCATAAAAGATTATAAAACAGTTTGTTACAAACAGCTTATGTGATATTTCATATTTAATTTCTTTCACCCTTCTCCCCCATGTAATGATCCCAGATGTAATAAAAAATGTACCTTGTAATTATGTCCTGTTATGCTTGACTTATATATTCTGTTTATTTCATGTATGTGAAAAATTTAAAAGAAAAAAGGTTACCTTGAGAAAACATCTTTTCTCCAATTATACAAGGAGAAAATTCAAATCTCTAATATGCTTTTTTTTCATTTTTTAAAAAGTTTTATACGAATCACTTTTTCTGTGTGTTGCAGTGAAAGCGGGTGGCATGCGAATTGTGAAGAAACATCAAAGTGCGGTCACTCCTCCAACACTTGAAAAAGATAAAGACATTGAAGGGTGGGAAAACACCAGGTGAGATTGACTCGAAAAATAATAAATCAACAACTTATATTAGGAAGTACAAAACCCGACGTGACATCTGGTCATGGCTATGTTATTTTGAACAAAATACCTTTAACAAGAAGCCAATTAGTACCAGGCTTTTAAACCATAAAATGAACAGATTGAACTCCGCATGGTGGTATTATTTCCACTAGAGATCACGAGCCTGTTACTAAACGAGGACAAAATAGAATTATGTAATTACATTGCTTAAAACAACTTCACAAAGCAATGAGAGTAACCAGAATGCCCCATTAGCTGAATTAGTAAAGATCTTTGCCACAGCCAAGTGAAATAGCATGAAGACTCCCAGATCAAGTCATACATTCAATTCCTGATCTTAGCAAGAGCAATAGTGGATATGCTACACTAGATGGAAACAGGATAGGCTCAGTTGTGTTGCATGTTTGGTCAAATAGCCTGCCAACCTTGATGATTGTTTTGGCTCACACATAAAACATGGCCAATTAGATGAGGTACTGGAGGGAGCCTGAGGGCATGAGGAACAATCCCAGAGTGTGAGTCACTTCAAAAAACTGTGAATAAAGTCTCTGTGGTTGGGAAAAGCAGTGGATAATGGGGAATGTGCTGCATGACATGCTGATACCTTAGATAAGGAGAAATGGGTTGAAGAATTAAGAGACATACTTGGTATTCTATTTGTATTTTTAGTTACATTCAATTCCGATCATCCAAATCAGGACATCCTAAGAATTGAAAGTTTATGTTGCTGTTGTTGCATTATTTGAGCCGTCTCCATCCAATTGTACATGGATAAAGTGATTCATTGTCATCTGCCTAGCACCCGGAAGTATTATTAAAATACTTTTAGTTCTGCTGTGTGGTTTGACAGCTACAAATTTGAGAATACGTTCTAAATGAGTCCCACAAGGCTCTGGTGCTGAGAGCATACTTTTGCTTTAGGAGCTCAAACCGTCCATGCGTAATATCATTTGGCATAAAGATTATAGATTGCATTTGTTAAAAGAGCCAACTAACCAGTATAGATGAGAAAAGCAGGTTAGGGGAAACATGATGAAGGATGGGATTGGATGAAGTTAGATTGAACAGAATAATAGGAAGAGATTAATTTGTGCACAGCTTGGCAATTTTTTTCTTCGTTAAAGGTCACAATAATTTGAAAGACTAAAATTATTCAGTGAATAGAGAAGAATGTGTAGATAACAACAACTTTCGCACAAGTTTGTTTCACATAGGGTGAACATGCCAAAGTCGATGGGAATCACCAAGTGGGGAGGAGTTTGAGGGTGTTGTTCAAAAGCAAGATCAAAAATTGTTTTAAGAAGGATTTAAAGGCAGGTAATTAGGGGGAGAGATACAGGCTGGGTGATTTAAAGGCTGAACCAATTGTATGTTGGGTGGATACGCATGGAAAAGGAGAAATTTAGAGTACGATAATGTTTGACGAAAGCATTGAAAGAATTGAGTTGTGGCAAACACATTGGGTTTTACAGAGAATGCCTTTGTTTGCGGTTTTGTCGCTAACCTATGGGCTTTGTTGGAATTGGAACAATAAAGCCTGAGGCTATGTTCCTGTGTTTATATGCACCTATTTCATAGGGGTCCAAAGTAATTTTGGACAATCGTGTTTGAGATTCTTATCTACTTTATTTTAAAAACATTTTTAGTGCGGATTGAAAGCGTTGTATAAGATTCACAGAATTTTCTGTTACTTGATATCATTCAGATTACATGGTACCGGGAGCACGTAGGTGGAGTGTATTTGAAATGGGCCATTTGATTATATGGAGAGGTTCCAAACTCCTATAGTGGTAATGGCAATTGTGGGACACTGCTGTGTGCAATTGGCTGCCGTGTTTCGCCCACAAAATATACAGTCAATTAATTTTACCGTATGTTCTGTGAAGCACTTTGAGACGTCTCGAAGACGTGATAAGACGATATATCAAATGCAAGGATTATTATTATTACCAGCCAGTGAGTAATACCATGAAAATTTAAAAAGTCCAGTCATTGCAAAGAATTATCATTAAAAATAGGTTAGGGAGATAAGTGTGAGCTCTTTTGTTTTATAGATAAATAAGTCTTCTTTCTGGTTGTGTCTTTCTTCAAAGAGCTGAGAAGTGATAGGGGCAGATGTGTGTCTTGTGTGATCCTGGCACAAGCTCCTTTCTTCTCCAGCTTTGAATGATTTAGACCTGATGAAGGTAGAGTTCCATATTATCAGACCATGGGTATTTTAGTGCTTCTCAATGCAGCATCCTAATTCAAGGCAGAGAACTGAAAGGTAAAAATAACCGAGAGCCCAAGGTCAGAAATTAATACAGTTAATTAAGAGGAAAACGGCAGAACACTTTATGATTTAATGAGAGAGTTGCAGGTTCTCCAAGTGTAGAATGAGAAGACATGTAAGGGTCAGTATTTACATACTTTAACTTTGAAAATGAAATGGAAAGCATTCACAAGTCCTTGGGAGAAAGTGCCCAAAGGACTAACTGCTGCCCCTTCTAGTAGTAACTATTGCAGAGGCAGTGGAAATGTACTGAAATTGAGCATGATCTGAATACATTATTCAATGAAGAATAGAAACCAGGGATTCGTTTTTCTTGATATTAAGATAATGGTGGCTCAGGTATTGAATTTTTTTTAAAAAAAGAATAATGAACTAGCTGAACTTGATCAAACACTAGGCAGCATGTTATACTCAAAATCCCAACATAGTTTTCAAAATATTCAGGCATTTTATTAATAAATAATAAATCTTTGCATTTGATAAGCGCCTTTCACATCAGAAAGACATCTCAAAGTACTATAATATTTGTAAAGTGCAGTGAATGTATTTTGTAGATGAAAGCAGCAGCCAATTTGCACACAGCAATGTCCCACAGATATCTGTGAATGAATGACTAATTTTACCTGAGGGTATTTTGTTAAAGACACCAAGAGAAATTCCCTTTACTTTTCAAATAGTGTCATGGGATCTTTAACATCCACTTAGACAGCGGATGAGACCTCAGACTAACATCTTATGCAAAGGACGGAATCTCTAATTAGAACTAGAGTGGCACATGGAATAAGCTGATCCTGGAACATTGAAAAATTATCCAGGTCTACTCTCGTCTAGAATGTTTTTTTGATCAATCAAATACACTGGAAAATGGCTCAGTGTATAAATCCTCTATGGTTAGGTGCATAAATAAACTAATAAAGGTATTCAGTAATTATATTGGTCTGTTTCTGGATAAAATTGCAATATTGCTCCTCCCCTAACTTACTAGGATACACAGAACAGTGACAATAAAGGGATGCTCTCCTGCCCACTATTGTATTGCAGCTCCTATGGAAGGGATTGGAACTCAGATTAAGACATTGGTGGTAATGCGGCACCTTTTCTTTTCATGCACTTATTCGAAAGGTTAGGAAGGTATTCGGATTGTATGTTACACTCACATTGATCCTGACAATCTGTCCTTGTATCTACCTTTTTTGGTTTGTTGTTCATACACAATTCAGCCTCTATTGAAGAAAAGCTGGTATACTTCCTCGAGGGGTATCATTCATTCAATGATGTTGGAATCTAGCCCAGATTAATTGTCTGAAAGATTATGTTGGTGGTAAGGATCCTATGTGAAATGATCTCTCGTGGACGCAAGTCCTTTGCATAAAATGTATTTCAACAGTGAATATTCAACGTCGGAGAAAGTGATTTGTGGTTTAGAGGACGTTGCACGGGGCCTCTTGTTGCTGGAACTATCGCACGTTATTAAGAAAGATTAGGTGTATCCAAACTTGTGCTTTATCCAGGAGCCCAAAATGTTGCATTTCTCAGCAATAAGTTTTCAGTACAACCGTCATCCAAAAAGTGGTTAAAAGTTCTGCGGTTTTATTCCAGTGACAAAGCACTGCAAAGATTGTGATCACATCACTGCCTAGCATTGATCTGATTGTACAGGTAGATTTTGATGTAAACAATAATAAAAACACTTGACACTGAATTTTTAAATTCAAAGGACATTCATCTGCCATTGGAAGGAAAAATCTTGTGAGCTTTCTGCTTCATTTAAGTTAGTAATAAATTGACTAGTGCAGGCATTAAAGTGTGTTATTTAATTAAACGCTTGTTCCACCACACTACCCATGCAAGTTTCGCTCATGTGAGAAGTAAATCCATTAGCTTTTAATGCAGTCCTATAAGATCAATATTTAAGTGTGTGTAGAATTTTTACATTTATTTACAGTTACTATATTTAAATTGTAAATCAGGACAATTTCTCTCCCCCTTCCAGCCATCAGATCTGCACAGCCTCTTTACCACAGCAGCGCTGTGTGAAAACAGTTGATGCTGACACCATTCAGACACGTTCCAGTGGGGTTGAGATTTGCACAAAGTGTGTTACAGTGTATCCAGCTCCTTGGGAGACACTTCAGAACTGTCTTGATAGTTCAAAATTCATAAACTTGTGCGTTTAATATAGCACATCTCAGAAACTTTCAGTAGCAAATGTGTATTTGTAGGCAAAAGTGGCAGCCAATTTACCTGCATCAATGCCCCACCAACAGCAACTTGTATTTATGTAGTGCTCTTCACGTAGGATATTGTCTCAGAGTACTTTACTGACTGGGTTAGACACCAAGCTGGGGAGAAGGGTAGGGATAGACTAAAAAGGTTTTAAGGTGACACTGAAGACGGGTAGAAGGGGAAGGAGCGATAGACCGAGCTTGCCAGATGTTAGGGACATAAAAGCCTGAAAGTTCGGTCATTGTTAGTGGTTTGTAGAGGGCAGGGAAGCCATCAAGCTTCAGTTAGCTGAGCGGAGGGGCGAGCATGAGAGGTAGGAGAAGTTTAGAGTCCAGGAGAAGTGCTCTCTTAATCAAAGTAAATAATAAAAATTGAAGCTTTAGACTCGTGAAGATTTCAATGGTTTACTAAATACGGCCAAACCCTTATCCAACCCTGATCTTTCGCTACCTCCTGCCTGGACTTTTCA